CAGTAATTTGTGTTTATAAAGAAAATACTTCAAATTTTAACAGTACCTCTATCCCGTTCATTGATCATCTTTTTGACGTTTCAAATTCCGCTCATTTGAACACTATGTACCCATCGTCGCCCAAAGATTGACGTGCTGCTCGCTTCACTGTATTTCGCAATTTAATGATGATGATAATGGACGTTGTTCAGTCATCGCCTAGCTAACCAATAAAATGTGTGTAACCTCTTAACCACTGCGGTTTGCTTAATGTGGTGAACATTCCACGGGTGAAAAATAGAAACACAGCCTTTATGAGGTTACATGTAATTGCGTGTCAACTATGTCAAGATTTACATTTGGTATGTGCAACAGTTTGGAACTTTGTTAAGATTTCCCACTTGAAAATGCTGTAATTATTCGCCGTAGTGTGTTTCCTGGTCTGGGTTTCCATGGTCAACAAAAGTATTTTACACAAACCCGTTAGACATTTTCAAAATTTGCACGCATATCATGGATCTATGGAACCATTTTGGATCCGCGAAAGTAATAAAATAGTAAAGGTTACCTCAACTGTACTGTACATGGACACCTATTTTAAAATTGTGCTATCTAACTTGAGATAATATCTTACCAATGTCTTGGCAGCATAACTCACTTTGTCTGGCTAAATGCAGCTTACGTGTGTACTGCTTTCTCGTTGACAGTTGGCACTCGTCGATAGTGAAAAGCAAACAGCCCGTTAGTTGATAGCCTTTCCCGAAGCTGACTTTAAAATATCTTTAGCTACATGTCCGTTTTTACTGAACGCATGCCAAGGAGCGAATTGTATTATACCACATGAAAATGAGCAGAGCTGCATTGAGACAATTAGAAAGATTAACAGTCTTTCGGATGGAACAAAAATATTTTTGTGAAAATGATCACCCATTACTCTGCTAGTTGGATATCTGCATGCATTTGGTTCCGATGTGACATCTCAGTAGCTTTTCTGAAGGAAGGCACCTTTGGAATAGCTGTTTTGAATGATATTGAACCGTTAGGAAGACGGCATTTCACAAAAGATAACTTTCATTCCTAGCTGACATACGAAATTAGTTTGTATGATCTGTCTTTGGAAGCAATCATTTATAACAGTCTTCTCCACCGAGTTTGATTGGGATGTAGATGACATACCGTGATTCGTTTAATTGACACAAATTAGTTATTGAGTTTTGGTTTACTTTGCAACAGAAAACTGAGGAGGTTTCCATCCAACTGCAGTATTGTTTCTTAAATGAATAAGTGCAAAATCAATGTAGTTTGTTCAGATTTATTCTAACTGTGATAAAATGCTTGGATAAAAGTATGGACTGATGTTTCCTACGCCACCGTTTGCCAAAGAACGAGTTCGATATGATTATGAGCCCACGTAAAGAGCATTTTGAAGATGAGATGTAATGACTTATATGGATAAAACTTTTGGTATGTGGGTGTGGGTGCTACGACGTAAAGTGGAATTAGTTTTCTGGTAGTTTTCAAGAGGTTTAACTTAGGTCTGAACTGTTTCAAAAGTGGTCAAGCGGTCAGCAATAAGCCAGAATTTATTGCCAATTATAGTGCTACCTACTGAATTGTCGATACCTCCTGTAAATTTAGTTAACCTAGTTCAAAAGAACCTGTCATTTGATCAATTGTTGATAGATTAAGAGATTGTTGTGACAGAAGCAAAGTACTTGCAATAAGTAACATTCACACGACAAGAAAATAAGTGAACATTTCAGTGCATGTGGTCGGTAAATTCGTTGACCACAATGTTCGGTGAACAATCGCACGTCGAGGTAGCCCTAACTCACTCTTGTTTCTCAGTATGTTTTGACACGGTTTAACTTGTGATGCGGTCTTTATTTGATGAGGGTCGATGTGAAATGCATCAATTTCGTAATTTACAACGTTTAGTCTTCATGATTAGTCAAACGATGAATTTGTAAAATAGCCCCCAAATGCGACTACTATTCCTGCAGAAAGTATTGCAGAACATACCAAAACCGGTTTAATAAAACTAAACCGGTTGATTGGAAAATCCTTGCAAAGCTCTTTTTAATTTATAACAAGAATCCACGTATGACCATCTAACAGAATGGCAATATAAAGCAGTTTCTGTAGTCTCAAAGAGGAAAGCTTACAATTCCAGAAACCGGATTAGTTAGTTACAAGCTGAACGCCTGAGAGAATTTGATGTTTTCTTTTACTGAAATGGAATAACCGAATGTCTTAGCAGAATATTGCTTGATTTATCTGTTCTTTCGTATGGCGAAGGCCGCTTTTGTTTATTCTCTCATTGTCCTCGCGCAGGCAACTGATCATGACAATGGTCGACGAGCAAGCGTATGTTACGCAGGCCAGCGTCGATTTGTGTGATTATGTGATTGAGGAATATTCACCCCTCTTGGTGAAGCGATTCCTTGACTAAATTGGATTATGTTAATAGAAGAAGTCAGCGGGATCAGGCCAATTTTACTTATTCTTGGTCTAAGGGAAACCCAATTTGGGGAATCGTCTGGGTTTAGCTACTTTGTGATAGTTATTAGCGACTCATTATCAGTATTTTAAAATATACTTGAACGACTGTTTGTATCCGCCTATGTCACACTTTCTTTCCCCGAGAACGAAGAAATCCTTCCAAACTAAAGTTAGGCTATCAAAGAAATCACTTGAATCATTGGTGAGCATGCAAATGTACCTAATTTGTAACGAATTATCATTTGCACTGCATCTGGGACAGCACAGAGTTGGATTTTAATTTCAGAGTATTTTCGACGAACATCCAATTGGGTGAAAAAATTCGTAAGGATCAATTTGAACAAGTAAGACAAATACCAGCTCAAAAACGTGCGTGTGCAAAATAGGTTTTTTCTTGATCAATTAACAAGTGTGTGTTGTTCGCTGATGCTGTCTGACTTGGGTGAGGTGAGACATGCTACTGCGTTTATCTACAAGACACCATCGACAATGATCCTTAAGTTCCAATGTCAGAACGTGATGAAGCATACGATAGATAAACTGGGAGTGGGTAATAAACGCTTTTTGTAAAAGCGTTGTTTCACATCGGCAGAAACAATAACAACAAAACATGAGCTATTAGTTACCACCACTC